ATTTTGATTCGAAGAATTTTTTTCGAAAACATATTTAATTCCTATTCGATTAAAAAAAAAACCAAAAAAGCCTGTATTCTTATACCAACTTATACACATACTTAAAAAACATTAATCGCTGTTAAATTAAAAAAAAAAGTTAAAAAAAATTATTTAAAAAGAAGTTAAAAAACAAAAATATCCGATTAATCGTACATTAAAATAGTTGTAAATTTAAACAAAATGTAAAYTTAAAAAATATATAAAAATGTCTAGCTTAGAAAAAAAATTTTAAAATTAGTTTTAAGTTTTTTTCACAGAAAAATTTTTTGTATTGATAAAAATTAATATTGAGTCTACTAAGTTTATGAAAAAAATTTTCCCCTTAAAAAACTCAATTTTTACTCAAGTTAAAAAAAATATGTATTTGTATATATATTCTTTAAAAACAACTTTTATTGATGTTATTTTTCTTTAAAATATATATGAATGTCAAAGTTGGCCTCCCTCGTTAACTTATATAGATGTGCGCCTAAAGGTATACTTATGTTAAGCAAGCATGATTACATTCTCACATTATGAGCATACAAACGTTTTCTGCAGCATCTTTTAGGCGCTSTGCTCTATTTGAAAACACTTATTAAGGGTTCATGTATATACTATATGTATAATCATCAAATAAATTTTTTGAAATTGACAAGGGGTTATAACCCGCTAAGGTATACTTATATTAAAAATTAAGCAAGTATTCATTCATTGCGTCATCTGTTTGCTGCTCTCTTCCATTTGACAACTTTTCACTTAAGGTTATGTTTAAAATTGACATTAAATGTTTTCAACTGCAAACTAAAATTCAAAATATAGTCATCATTATTTCACAAATGCATTTGAGACACTGCTCATAAGCAAGAAACACAAAAAGAAAGCATTAAAATATACAAATGTCTTCGCTGACTTTAAAGAAACCCAAGCTCTATATTATTTTCTTAAAAAAAAAGAAATTAAATTATTGTCATCGGAATATATCTTTGCTGGACTGAACTATGAAATATATTTATCGGCATATCTTTTTGAGTTCAACAAAAAGTAATTTCTAAAACAGCAGATTTTTATGCAATTCAGACGATTTTTCGAAATTTCGCAACTCRCTGCTAAACTGTGCATTAATTATTTATATTTTATTTGCCACTAATTATTTTTATTTGATTTTCCTTTTTTCCGCCTGCGACTTTCTTTCTGCGCCACACAAAACYATCTAACTCAATTGGAAATATCACGTGATACACACTTCGTATATCAATCTCTTCTACCAACAAAYATCGTCTTAACCATCCATCACACATACAACTATGCAATCCATCAATCCATCATTAATTGGCACTCACCTAAATGCATTTGCCATTTGCCATTGGCGAAAATGCGCGCAACTGTAGCTCGAACGCAAACAAGTTTCGCCACCATTCAAACCACGCTTAGACTCTGACCGCGATCTAGCCAATTTCCCACCCGAATTCACAGAGGAAGCGGTGCAGCTGACGCCCGACGATGAGTAAGTAGCACAATTGTTGTTGGTTTTTCGTGTGTGTAAACCGGATATTTCTGTTTATTCCCTGTTTTAATGTTGGAAGTAGAATTTTTTTGTTATTGTTTTTAGTTATTAATCACAACTCATTGCCATAATTGTTGTTTTTGTCATGGAAATTTTTGCTATATTCTTTTATTAATATAAAAAATATATATTATTTTTTTTTTTTCATTCGCTACGCAGTCGTGTTATTGACAAGATCGATCAATCGGAGTTTGAAGGCTTCGAGTATGTGAATCCGCTGCTGATGTCCTTGGAGGATTGCGTCTGACACCACGAGTCATGTGACTTGCATCCCTATAATATGCGTGTAGGTGTAACCTCTTATAATTTCGCACACTTTTATATCTTCCACAATTATTTGCGAATTTCTTSATATGCTCGTTGCTCTCTTTTTGCAGTTGTATGGCGAGGACTCCAGTGATTATGACTCAGTAGCTGATGATTTAAGTATTTTGCAATTGCACGCACCGCCGCCAACAACCGCTAACAATAATCTAACGAATCTTCGCATGCAACAGCAACAACAACAACATTTACAACAACATCACCAACAGCAGCAGCAGCATCAACAAATGCCGCCACTAAATCAGAATCCCAATCATAGTCAGAATAATCATCATAACGGTAACAATAATAATCATAATCATAATTCCAATAATAATAAAAGTCTACTGCAGCACATGTTTTGCCTTCCATTAAATTAAAATAAACAAGAAAATTGCAGAACAAAAAAAAAATTAAATAAAAAAAAAATTATGAAAACAAAAATCATAAAAAAGAGCAAACAGTAAATCAGAAACCAATAATGTCAAGCGTAAAGTGAACGTAAACATTAAAGATGCAATAAAAATAAAAATACAAAATAAATTACAACAAAAACAGCTAGAGCGGATGAAACACTAACAGCACATATGAACAAATTGTGACAACAAGCATAGCGCAGCAAGCACAACAACAACAATTACTAGTACTACGTACACTAATTTACAACAACAGCTATTTTTGCTGTGTGTGTGTGTGTAAGCTTAAGGCAGGCAGCAATTAGGCATTTTCGAAAGGCGTTAACATGCAAGCCAATTTTTCTATGAAAAAGACTTCAAAATAATTTTAAAAATTTTTTCTAAGCTACAAATTTGAAATTTCAAAGCGGACTAATGAAATATTTGAAAAAAAGACCCAAAATTTTTGTAGCACGCATGACATTATTTTTTAACTTTGCCTATATTTAGGGTTTCCCACAGCTATTRCGGTACAAAATTCAAATGGTAAAAATTAAGTTCGAAAATGTTGATACTAAAATAATACATTGTTTTTAAGTAACCGGAGCAAATATTRATTTTTTTACCGTGCGTAATAATTTTTTTAAACTTTGTTCGAAGTTCGAAAAAAATGATTACAAATCCGAAATCTTTTACCACACATAACAATTTTTAAAAATCGTTGCATATTTTTAGRKTTTCTCCMACTTAAAAGTTATTGAMAGAAARCTAAAARRGAAGTTCGAAAATAAGGATACTAAAATATTGAATTGTTCTAAACAATAAATTCGAAAGTATCAAACGAAGCAATGCAATGCAAAATCACAGGCATATTTTTAGGGTTTTGCATACAAAACTTAGTTTCTTGGATGTAGTGAAGTTTGAATTTTAAAATGTAGAGTCAGTTGTTATTCGAAACTATTGTTTCGGCGCAGACTTTTTTTAATGTTATTTACCGTCTTTTAGTAAATCAAGTTTTATTGAATGTTCATGATTTTATTTGTTGTTTTAGCTGCTTGTAGGACCTTTTGCATGCGAGGTTTATCACAGAGACTTGATTTATTTTACTTTGATATTAGCTTAGGGCTTCGTATTTAAATAATTTAATATATTAAAAATGTAAACTACTTTTTAGCCGAGCGAGAAAAGTCATCGTGTCGAATTATCGTTCTACGGCGCACATTTAATACAATGGGTTGATTTTTTCTTCTTTTATCTGAAAAGTATGCAGCAATTTAGAAATTTCCCCCTTTTGGTCGATGACATATCTTTGAGCCTCTTAAAATTGGGATAATTGTGGCAAGGAGAAAATTTGGTCGACTTGTTTAGCTTTCAGCTGAAAAGTATGCAACGCTTCAGAATTTGGCCAAAAAAATATTTCATTAGTAAACTTAAGCATTTTTTTTTTACTTAAAATGACTTGAGCTAATGCGTTGTTGAAGAAAACATTGGACAGTGCTGCCAATTAGTGAGAAATTTCAATGCCGGCTAACTAAAAAAAAATTAAATGACGAAAAAATTAAAAATGCTGCAGGTTAAAAACTGACGTCGTTGAAGCTGCTGGATAACAAAAATAAAAACAAAACAAAAAATATGAAGTGGTCAATAGGAAATTTGTAAGAAAACAAGCTGTTACAGTTATGTGTGCATGCTGAGTTAGTGGCAGTTAATGTTAAGACGCAACTGAAAGGTTTTTTAATATTAGCATAAAACATAAATTAATGAAATAATATGAAATTAAGAAACATTTAAAAAATTAAGAAAAAATAAAAAAAAATTAAGAAAAAATCAATAGAAAATTAATTAAAAACGCAAACCGAACAACTAAATACAATATTGTGACATTTTAGCAAAGCATGTTGGCGTAAATTAACAAAATTCACCACTTACATACACATATAAATTCAAAAAAATTCACACACACAAAMAAATTAATTTAAGGCATGCCAAGTAATTATGTAATTGCAATTGAACTGTATGTTTGTAGCGAACAAGCGGCAAACGTGCAACACTAAAACAAAAAAGAAAAAAACAAACGAAAACAATTAGCGCGAGCAATGAAAATTATGTGAACATAGAGTTTTCAAAATATTTTACTTTTTAAAATACCACATTCACTCACATATACACACACACATACGATGGTACTTTAGTCTAGATTTATTGCTAAATAAATAAAAAATAAAAAATAAAAAAATACAAAAACACTATGTATTGTACTACAACTACGACTACAGCAAAACTACTATTATTACTAAATATTAATACGTAAGCCAGAAAGTAAATTCTAAAAAAATTTAA